GCCCACAGCCCCTCGGAGCTGCCACACACCCTGTCCCCACGGGACCCCTCGGGGGGGGAGCACAGCACCGTAACCCCCTCTATCCCGAGCCCACAGCGGGGCCGGGGTCCCGACAGCTCCTCCAGCCCTGGGAAGGACCATGGGCATCTCAGGGGGTCTGGCACTCACAGACAGGGAGGAGACGGGGAACTGTGGCTCTGGTCTGGGGGGGCTTTCTCTCCTGCTCAGATTTGTGTCTGTGATTTCTGATGCTGACGGTTACCGTGCCTGCTTGGCTTTGGCGCTGGCTGTTCCCACGGCAACAGAACATGCTCTGGATTTGCCCTGACCCGTTCAGAGGTACTTCATTAGCTTTGATGAACTGCATTTTTAATAGAGGCTTACACTGGATTTTTGAAATATATGTGCTTTAAATTCCACGTTTTTAATTACAAATGACATGGGAACATAAGATACATAATTATATTTGCATGACTAATGCACTGTCTTTATATATTTATATATAAAACCTGTACAATATAATTACAAATTATCTTTGAGAAAAATCCAGGAAAAACCCTCCAACATTTCTTGAACATTCAAGTAGCATCACCACTGGAGGCTGACGGCAGAGGTCTGTAAGCCAAGTGGGCTACTGGGATGCCTCTGGCACTTGGACTAGGATCCAGATTTTCTAAGCCCGTGCATCTGCAAAGAGCCGCCAAACTCCACTTCTCCCAGGCTCACCACAGCACTGGACAGCCCTGGCTTTGGGTGATGCTCACCCTGGCGACGGAGCAGGCAACATTAACCTTTTACTGCAAAATGAAGACCAGATATTTTTTGCTGTAGAAACATTTAAAAAAAACCAAAACCAACACACCAGCATGAAAGGAAAAAACATGTCTTCCCTGCTGTTTCTAGTACCCAAGTGCTGAGTGCAGTTGGATTCACCATGAGATCTTCGGCCCAAGACAAAGCGCCTGGGGACCGTGTCCTCCCGAGGGCAGGGGAGCAACGGGCAGCTCTGATGGTGACGGATGCTGCTCCTGCAAAGCAGAGCCACAGCAGCCGAAAGCCTGCGCTCTGCAGGGTCCCCACCACGCTGAAGCTGACATAACCCAGGTTTCCTGGGCACGGCGTGCTGGAGATCACCGGGACCTGTGCCAGCTGGAGCCGGCGTGGGGCGGCCACTGCCCAGGCTGTGCACCCCAGCCCCGTGTAAGCAGAGACCGAAGGGAGAAAAGCAGTCGGGTCTGTGCACCTAGAAGCTGTGACTCCGAATAAATGACAGAGTTTCTAGGCCCAGGGAGGTCGTCCCTGCATGATGCATTATAACTAGAGATTAGATCCCTGACCCAGCATTTAAATAAGTGCGCAACTGTACTGATACATGTAATCTTAATGGCAGGAGGAATGATCAGGGCCCTGGGGGAGAAAGCCTTTAGCAAAATGAGACTGAGAGGTCTAGGACCGCTAGATTAGAAAGGCAATTAAGAGGGCAAATAGCAAAAGCAGAAAAAATGAAGAGCAAATAGAGAACTGAGATAAGGATCCAAGGAACAGGGCTGTGCTTTCCTCAAATGAGCTATAATTTGCTGTTTAATTTATTACCTCATAAGTGAGGACAAAAGTGTCTGGACTGAAGATACTTGGACTAAGGAGTGAAGCAGGACTGGCATGTGTATGGGACTGAGTGTGTGTGATTACGTGCTCCTTATAGACTACTCAGGAGTTAGGTGGAGGCTGGCATGGAGGCTTGGCTCTGCTGGTGCGTGGGCTCCCTGCTGCTGGGAGCTGCGGCACGGCTGGGGCTGTCACCGGGGCGGGGGGGCACAGCAGCTCCTTTCCCATCCCAGCTGCTTCACAGCGCAAAGAGCTGAGCTGCACTCTGGCTGGAACTCACTTTCCAGTGGGCGTTTTTCACTTTTTTTTCTCATATACCAAGTTATTTTGTTCTCAGATCAGTGGGTGGGCACTCAACTGGGACGGTTCCTCAGCCCTCTGACCCTGTGTAATGAGCAGTGCAATGAACCCGTGGGATTTCACTTCTCCCTGTGTCCCCATCATTAAACTAGCCGTCATTAAGTGGCAGCCCTCCCTTCAGTGGCTTGTACTCTCCCTGCAGTCAGTCATTGTTCTACGACATTGGAGACTGTCAGACCAAAACTAAAAAGAAAAGGGGAAAAAAAAAGGGAGGTCTGGGAATGCTCATGTGTGTTTATTTTGCTTGCAGTACCCAAAATAAAGTAGACCATTCATTTGCGGCTGCTTGCAGACTTTGCAAAGTCACCAGTAGCCAGTACTCAGTTTGCAAGCGTCCCCTTCCCCGGCCTTTGTGCCCGGCAGCCGTGCATCGGGAGGTGCCTCCGGCCACCCAGCGCCGCTCGCCCCATCCCGCTGCCGTCAGCCGGGGACAGCACGTCGGGGCCTCGAGCAGCCACGCGGAGCAGAGCGGGCATCCTCCCCTAGCCAGTGACATCTGCCTCTGCAGGGAGGTTCAAAGGAACACAAGTCCCGTGATGGCAACATCTCCCATGGGGCATGGCCCTGTGGTGGCCTCCTTATTTTGCTTGGTAATAATCCACAATTCTCTGTGAGTTGCTGTTATACAGTTAAGCGCAGCATGGAAAGTCAGGAGCAAGAAAGCAACTTCACTAATCCTGGGATGGCACTTGTGCCAGGCTCAGCTCCTTCTCAGAGTTATAATCCCTCTCTGGATGAAAGGGAAATATTCGCACTTGTACAGCGCATCTTGTCCCCATTAGTGTGACCAATCCTCTCGAGTGGCTGCGCTGAGGCGATGACAAACACACAACGGTTTGATTATCCCCTCACTGAGGAACTTTAATCTAACATTAAAAGTGGGGGGGGGGGGGGGGGGGCCTGAGCCATCTAGGCGTGGGTGGCACTCACTACCGTGAGATCCAGCTTTCCAGCAACGCGAGTGACAGCCAGTATTGAGTGGAAATCGATTATCTGTGCCAAGCAAGGATTAAAAATAGAAGCTTTGTGTCAAACCCCACGTATGTTTTGACTAAATCCTAGATAACAAGAAGAATGGATAAAAGACAGATTATACAGAGAACACCAAAACCCAATAAGCCAGGATTAAAGAAGAAAAGGATTCAAGTGGGTTAGCGCAATTAATGATTGTCAGGTGCCGTCCTTGCCTCCAGCCGGGACTGCTGCGGCTTCTGCTGGGCTCCTCTTGCGTTACAGGTGCTCTGATCTGCAAACCTGCAAGAGGCACTTCCAATTCATGGTGCTAAACACCCAAGGCTCAGTTCAGCTCAGGTCAAGGTTCTGTGGGCTTGCAGTCAGTTTTTGAACCACCCACCACGGTAAGTAAATTATTTTGAATGGTTAGAAACCCTTTCCTATAGTAAGACCCGGAACATTCCCAGAAAGGATGGGCTGTCTCGAGGACAGGCAGCCTCAGCCGCATCCCTCGGTCTAAGCCTGCAGTACCTTCACGCTGGAAAGCCAATGCAGTTTTACCACCTTTTTGTTTCAGTGACCTGTAAGCACGTGAAACACGTTTTTTCCTGCAGTGCCTGGTGCTCAGCAGCACCTGGAGGACATGCGTGACTGTCCCAGGACAGCCAGGAGCTCCAGAGTCTGCTCCAAACCACGCGCCTGCCCTTGCAGTGCCTCACACCATGCGAGGGTCTGTTCGTATCACATTTTACAGCATCCGCTGTGATTCCTGTAACCACCTAAATTCACATAGCACACAGTTGCTGCTTTCGCAAGAGGAAGCATTGCACCGGACAAGGCAAGACTTACAAACGAAATAATTTTATTGAGTTTCTACTGCTATAGCCTGTGGCACATAAAGAGGATTAAGACACAAGGTGTGATGAGAAATTATGTATTTGTCCTTCACTGAACAAAGGATTCATCTTACACAAAAAGACAAGGCAAAGAAATTCCCTCCTCTGCTTGTCGCGATGTTCAGTGAAGGCTGAAGCTGTGACATTTAGCAAAATGGGAACTGAAGTTGACCTGAAGGTTGTGGCTGATGTACTCAGTTCTGCTAACCTGGTGTGAGGAGAAATGGCTGCCTTGCTAGCAAACTTTGTTTTAACTTGAAACCAAAATATTTGCATTCACTTAATTTAATTACAATGGAACAAGCAGCACTAATGAGAGAAAAATCCAGCATGAGAAAGTGTCCAAACCCGCTGCTCTCTGATAAAGATCAGCCGCTTTATCTGTGGTTGCAGAGCTAGAACTTGGGACGTTGTAACTTCATTTGGGCCTCTGCAGCCACGGAACCTGCAAAATTCCTTTTTTTTCAAAGCTTGATCTTCCTCCAGCATTTGGGCCTCAGAAACTTTTTTCATTAAGGAAGAGCTGACAGTTCAACAAAACAAGTTTGGAAGCTTCTTTTAGTATTGGTTGTGTTTCTGTACTCCCCTTTGCCCTTTTGCTCACCCCTTATTAGTGGGGTGATACAAGAAATAAAGCTCTCGAGCTCATGCAGGGGGATCACCTATTTCTGTAACAGCTTTTCCCCTTTATGTCCGAACCCCACTTGTGGCAGCGCAGTTCTCCCCACTCCGCTCCAGGAAAGGTGGTGATGTACAGGGGAATGAGCAGCAGCGACGAAGGGGACTGAAGGAACTGTTCATGCAAGTTGCTCTAGGGAGACTTCTAATACAGGGAAAAAAACCAGTTTCTTCCCCCCCGGGGAATCAATGGCATTTCTGATATATGACAAAAGGAATTTGGGATACACACGGCACAAACTTCTAACAGCTCATCAACACCTCTACCTGGACAGGAAACCTGTGACCACGTTGCTGGGTTCGGGCTGACCACACGGGTAAGGAGCTGCTCACAGGTCGGGTCGGCTCTTGCGTCTTCCGCCGCTGCCCGCGCAGCAGGGCCGGTCCGGACGCCCCCTCTCCTGCCCGCCCGCGCTGTCTGCAGACGCCCTGAGCATCTCTGCACTTCTTCAGCCTTTGTACACACTAAAACCTATTTTACACCTTATTTTACAGACCAAACTCCCAGCTCATGTCTCAGTCCACCGTCTTCCTCTGGAAACAGATCCGTACAGTAAAAGCCACAAAAAAAAAATCACCTTGGGAGACATATTAGACAAAGACATATTTGACCATAAAACGGGTTTCTGCCCTTACTTACGCAGGAACAACTAGACCAAAAAGTCTCACTGCTGCCACTGCCACTCAGCAACAAATTACTGAGACTGTTGGCCAAGTGCAGAAATAACTCGGTTTCGTCCCGTTTGACTCGTCGCACGCTGGATCACGGTGTGGGTGGTGGTTTAGGCGAGGGGCAGGAGCCCTGGCTGTCAAAGCTCGCTGCCCGGCCTTGCCACTGGTGGGAGAAAAAAGAAAGCAAGTCTAAGCGGACGGGAGAGATGATTTGGAATTCCTCACATCCCTTCACCACGCTGCCTGTGTCTCCTGTGTTTTCATCTGCTCTACAACGTTTCAGCTTATCGAGTGCTTGCATTTAACCACTCAGGAGGAATTACTGAACAATTTACTTTATTGCTTTGTAAATCAATTCACAATCATGAGGACTGCTCACAAAAAAAGGAAAAATAAACACTATGTGCTATGGAGACAAAGTTTGCTCTCCGTTTGCTTTCTGTTGTTCCCTGGTTTGGTGCTGTTGCCTTTTTGGTTTAGCAATACCCACTAATGGCAGAATTACCCGAGTCCCTCCAGGCTGGTGATCTGACACACAAAAGCTGTGCCCACAGTGTGGAGACACTTCTCAAAGTGAAAATCAGCTCAGAGGGTTAGTGGATGTAGCAAACACTTTTTTTGCCATACTTATGGAATCACTAATTATCAGTCATCTGCCCTGGGGGCCGTTATGATTCCCAACCATTACTCCTCATTTTGAGTACTTGCCCATCGCACCATCTTGTTCTATTAAATTCAAATGACAAATGACAGGCATCTCCTGGAGACAACGGGAGGCACAGCACTTCCGCTACTGCGTTCCCCTCTCCCGGATCAATTCCCTCCTCTCCTACAGAAGCAGAAACTCTTTGCAGGCTAATATTAATGCTCTAGCATGTATGAATGTCACTGCTGTGGGTGACAACTCATTTGGCAAATTGAACTTCACCCTTGCCTTGGCAGAGGCATTTCAAACGAAACGCAGCTGAGACGAGAGCACAGGATGGCTGCACGGCGCTCGCAGGAAGGCTGAGCAAGCCAGACGACCGCTTGCAGTCGCTGTCAGTAATAGGAACGCACCCGGGGCCAGGGTGGCCGTGCCTCCTGCCTGCCCTGGGGGGGCACCCCCGGCGCCCCGGCTGCTGTGTGCTGGGGGTACCCCAGCCTGCAGGTCCCTCTTGGTGCCGGCCGGCGCCGCGCCGCGGGGTCTGTCCACAGGACGGCTGCTCGCCAGCGCTGGCCCTGCCTGGGTCAGGTCTGTCCTTGTCCACGCTCGTGTCCGCAAGGTGCATTTGGATGGTCACAAAGTAGGGGCAGGGAGAGGGTCAAGAATTCAGCCAGGATCTTCCCCAGAGAGGTGTAAAGTAACTCACTGCACAGGTTTGCATTATACAGCTTGGATTTCATCAGGGCTGGGCAGAAATTAATGAGTGAAGAAGCTGGAGAGGGCACCTTTCCAAACAGGCCACCCTAAGGTAAGAAAACGGTTTCTTCTGTGTTTCTCATGCCAAATGTATTTGCTAAAATCCCTGAGGAATTGATAATATGAACACAATCTCCCCATGAGAATTACCAATAAAAGAGCAGATAAGCAGGATTTACAATAGACGTGTGCTTTTGGCTGAGTCCTCAGTGTGCTCCGTGCATTCTGCCTGCAGTTACAGCGTTTTCTACCCCAAAAATAGGATGAAAACTCTTCCGAGAGGTGGTTCAAGTGACCAGTGTGCCATGAGGAACGCGGAGATACTTTTCCTTCATTTAATTAGAAAAGGTGAACCCTCCATTGTGTAATTAATGGTCAGAAACTAGGAACAGTTTGATGGAAGTCAAACATGCCGAAAAGTCTGGAAGCGACTGCTTTTTGCATATCTTTAAAGATAAATGGCTGTTCTTCATTATGGGCATGACTTAGCTCTCAGCAAAGTTACCGGGTTTTATCTGGAGAAGTAGTTTTAAACAAATAAATGCTCCCATGCTGAATGTCAGAGGGACTTGGCAACATCAGAGACCTATTCTGCATTGCGCTGATAGCGCTGCTTTACAACATCAGACAGAGTTTGCTTTCATAGCTAACAAGAAATTTCCAATTTCCAGAAGTCCCCTTCAAAGTCTGGAAAGAAGCGCTGGATTTTTATATTTCTTTTTATAGAGACTTTATTTAACCTGGCTGATGGACGTGTTAAGACATGCAGAAGAACCAGCAATGGGTGGGGTGGCTGAAGCAGACCTGAGAGACCGAGGCCACGGCAGCGGGTGCCAGCAGGACCTCGGGGCTGAAAAAGGGGACCGGGTTTGAGCTGAGGGCAGGAGACCCTCACCAGAATAACTTCAAAATGCAACAGCAAGTGGGATTCTCATCTTCTGCTCACAAACCCTCCTAAACGTCTGTGTGAGGAGGATAGTACTTAGAAACCTGTAATTAATGACTCATTTGCACATGTTCTCCTTTTAATGATGATGGTCATTAAAGAAGTGCAGTCTTTACAATTTGTTACTCACTATTGATAAATATGGAGCAACCAAAGACATGAACCATAACAGAAGCAAGTTTCCCTAAAGAATCCAGCAATGAAAGAGAAGAAAGAGCAATGCTGGCTCACGGAGAAAGGGCCCGAGTCACGCCCCCGCCCCCGAAATGAGGCTTCTGGGCCATGCTAGTGCAGCACTGCAGCTGCTGGAACGGGCTCAATGCTGCCCAGGGCCCTTGCCCAGGGCAAGGAACTGTGCCTGCACCGTGGGAGGCCAGTGGCCCAGCCCAGGGAGCGCAGTCCCAAGGGTGCCGGCGTCCGTCCATCCATCCCACACCACTGTGGCGGGGAGCCGGGGGCTGGGGCCGGTCCCTCCTCCTGCTGCAACACGCCCCTGGTGATGGCTCTCCTGGTGACTTCACCAGAACCTGTGATTCCGGGCTGTAATCAGAATCTGGCATAAGCCCCTTTTTTTTGGCCAGAGGTTTTTCAAGGCATACCAAGCAGAGCCGTACGCACGCTGGCTCGTAGAGAACATCCAGATTCCCCACCCTTTTCTTCACCCACCCGCAGTCCTGAGCTGTGTGGGGAGGGGAGGGGGCTGGGACACTGCGCTGCGCAGCGACGGGGGCGATGGCAGCAGGCACGGGCGGCTCTGCGCCCCTGGGTTAACAGCTCCAGCCATCCATCACTCCATTTACACATTCAAAAAGACAATTCACTTCTAGCTTTTTGCTTTCAGTTTAGGATCAAGCACTCAATCAGGAAAGACTCTGAAGCACGGCAGAGGCTGTTACAATCGCTGGAGCAAACCGAGAAGAGCATGAGGATCAACAGAAAGCAAACGCTCCATTTGCCCGTGCCCAGCTGCAAACACTGATGAAGCTGAAGGTGAAAAAGAAGACGACCACTCAGGATGCCAGCCCCTATGGGTTGCCCCCATGAAGACACAAGGGTGAAAAAGGGATGGAGGGGTCAGCAGTGTCTCCCCCAGTATCTCCATTCAAGGGGAGCTGGACTGGGGAGCTGGCAGCCCGTGGGGCCAGGGCCGACGGAGCACGCAGCCGCGAACCTCGGCCCCCACTGCCCAGCAAACCCCCCCTGGCCCGGACGGACGCCGGGGGATGGCATGGGGACCCAGAGCTGATGATACGGGACAGAAAACAGAAATTGCTTTGCTGCACAAACACAGAGGGAGTAGGTGATACGATCAGCATAACCAACACACACCACCTCCCATTCATTTCTGTCCCGGAGCTGTGCCTTCTTCTGTTTGTTTCTTCTTTTAAGCTGCATTAGGGATTTGCAGACAGCAGTGCTAAAACTTAAAAGGGCAAATGAATACAGGGACCATTTGCTTGCTGGCTCTGTGCACCGGCTTGTGGCAGAAATACCAGAACAGATGATCAGAGGCTTTTTTTTCTTTTCTTTGAAGCAGAGCTCCTGACCTGTGCACTGGGGGGTGAAATGATTCACTCAGGGTTTTTTTTCCCAAAGTCTTGGGGGCTCAGCAGTGGTTTTCAAAGTATATTTTAGGAGGTGAGTCATCGCACATGCCTGCCTTTGTTTCTCTGAGTTGCGTCACAATAATTATGACTTTTTTTTTTCCAATTGATTATCAAAAACTTTACAGGAGTCTTTCTTTCAAACTCCCACCTGCATGTGAAGAATAGCGTGTTGAAGCCATACAAATTACAGACTAGAGAAGGAACTGCTGCCCCCGGGTCAGGCGTGGCAGCTGGCGTCGGGCTGCTATGGATGACACAGACACTGCGCCACCGGATCCAGCGACAGATCACCACCGGATCCAGCGATGGACCACCGAGCCGTTGTGCTGAAACCCCGCAGTGGCTGCCCCCGGCTCTCGGCGGCAGCGGGAGAGGGCGCGCGGTGCCTGCCAGGCAGCTACGGCTCGTGCGTCTCGAACGGGAAGGCTCACCACCCAAGGGCAGCATTGCCATTACACACACATCACACATCGGGTCCATTCTGATTTACACCAGTTCTGCACAGCTGACCCTACACGGTGGCTCCCAATTTACAGTGGTGCAGTACGAGACACGAAATGCCTAATCCAAGTGAGTGTGAATTTTCAGATTTCCATCATCTGATAAATGTATTTCCACTGTGCCTTAAACTAGAATATTAATGGCCGGGTTTTCCCACTGGGTGCCACTTAACCTGGCTCTAGGAAGCGAGGGTATTCCCCTGCTAACCCCTGGCTCTGGGCCGGGCCCCGCAGCCACCTTTCCTGTGTGATAGAGAAATGCCCTCCAAGGGACGCAGCAGCGATGAAAACGCCCGCAGAGCTGGGGCAGCCGGCTGGCCTGGGCTCGCAGGGCTGCTGCCTACCAGCGCCTGGAGAGGGACAGGAACCTGCAGGTGAAGCAGACCTGCCCCCGGGGCGGGCACGGCTGAATTTCAGAAAGCAGCTTGGTGAGCATGAGCCGGGTGGGGAGCACGGGGCACAAACTGTGTTCTGAGGGGAAAGAGCAGATTTCAAAGGAACACGGGGTTTGATGCATGCTAATTCAGCCTGCTGTGGCAGATCAGCAAGCCTGGTATCTGGCTTCCAGTGGAGCTCAGTATCTGAACTTCAAAGGGAAAATAAGATGCTTTTTGTTATGTACTTAGTCTGTGGCTTTGAGGGAAAATGCCTCCTTAGCCCCCGGTACGGTGGGAGGTTTTATTGCCTGTATTGTGCTTCGCTGGCCACAAACGCTGGCTTTCTTTTCATAACTGAGGCTTCAATAGCATGTGTGCCACTTTCCACACCTCTCTCCTCCAGAATTTATGACCTAAATCAGGCAAAACCCAGCGAGCTCTGTACGAGCATGAGAAAATGGAGTGCGAGGAGGAAGAAAATGCTAGAGATGGTCAAAATGGTACCCAGACATTTCAGCCCTATTTTATCATCTGGGGCTGCATCAAGTGAATCTCTTTCTCTGGAGATGTTTAGAGCAATTACTTTGGTTCTATTTATTCTCCCTCAAAGGCTTGGAGATGAGTCAACAGAAAAAATTTTTAGGATGAAAAAACTGAAACTTGAAATAGGCGATATCCCTGGACGATTTGTTCTGCAATCAGGGCAGCATTCTCTTTCCTTACTGCTCTCAATCTCTAATTTAAAAAAAAAAAAAAAGAAAAAAAGAAAAAGACCGATCTGGTAACAGTTGCATCTGTAAATACCGCCCCTGTCATTCTTGCTCGCAAGCTCAAGGAGCTATTTCCAGACAAGACAGAGATGCTTGTTTTCTAGAGTTCGTTTCCGGTGAGAAAATTCCCTCGGCTCCTGTGAGAAGCCCCAGGCGAGAGCAGAAGCTCTCTGAAAGCCTTGAACTAGCTCGGTCACGCACACCGCATGCATTATAAGGGAAAAGTAACTCCACGCACCTCTTTGAAAGACTTCTTTACCTCCACTAGTGGATGCCAGTGTGCGATGGGCTTGCGTGGGTATGCCAGCATCTCATTCCAGTGGTCTCTGCCCAGTCCTTCCGCATTGACCCCCACACGGCAAACCCCGATAATCTCATTGTGACCCACTCTGGAGAGGAACAGAAATGCCACACGATCACCTCGCACGCAGGCTGCCCGCACGCACTCCAACCCAGGCTTCTGACCCCACGCGACCGGAGTGCCGCGAGGCGCGGTGCTCGTGAGTGGGGCCGGTCATAGCTGCACGGTGACATCGGATCTTGTCTGCTACTGCCAGCGCACACAGCCCCCAGCACAGAGAGGCAACGCCGCTGCCAGAAATAATTATGACAACTTTAAAAAGATGTGAACTGTACATCAGTCCAGATACAGAATCTGGAACCAGGCGTGACGTGGTGGTGAACAGCAAGAATAGGTACAAGTTCAGTTATGGATAATTCATGCACCAGTTGCTGCTCAGAGCAAGACCACTCACTTTCTAAAAGGGGCTGACAGGTTGCAGGACGAGCAAATAGCGGAGGGGAACACAGCACTCACTCGGGAAAATGCCATAAAGCAAAGGACCGGCTCTGCCATACTTGCTATTCTAGCAAGTAATTTTCCATAACCCTAAATAACGATGACACTTTAACAATAAATCACTGGAGACAGATTGATGCCACCGAGCTGTGCAGTCAAGGCCATGGCACTGAGGAAGATGGTTATCGAGAGGGAAAACCTGCGCCCAACGGGATGTTTTCCCTGCCAGCTCTCCAGAGCCTCCCACCTACCGATCATAATCCATGACGGAGATAAGCAGACTGACTTGATCCATGTTCTCTGGGGGGATGTCAAAGATTATTGCTTCATTGTAAGTGGGATTAAGTGTGTTTTTCTTTATGGTGGTTTTCTTCTTTTTCAGTCTTCGCCCATCACAGAGCAAAGACACTTTGACATATGGATCTGGAGAGAAGGAGATAGGAGAAAGCCTTCTGTTTATGGAGGTTTATTTTGTTACCATCACAATACAGAAACCGCATTATCAAAGGATGGGCTGTAAATTACTGTGAGCCAAAGGCGCTCTGCAAATGTGCTTTTAGAAAAAGGGATGTCTGTGCACCCGTCGAACCCACCATTTCTCCCACTGGTGTGAGTTCTGACACGAGGTTCACGCACTGGAGAACCAGCACTGCAGTCGTCTTGGAAGCAGAAGTCAGCCATTTCCACCAGTTTCTATGTGATAAGGGTTTGTGAGTGTAAGGGGCCCCACCTCAGACCAAGGGCCCATCTTCATCAGAAGATGGTAACGGGCACTGGGTGCTCAGGTGTTCTAGCTTGCATTAACTGTGTGGCCATGGACAGTAACCCCAGTGCTTTCTCTGAAGACAAACCACAACTTTTTAAAAATTTGAAACCCCATTTTTCCAATGCCCGAGAGCAGCAGAAAGAAGAGGGATGACGGCAGCTCTGCTCATGTGCTTTCCACTGGCTGACCATGGCAGAAAGCACTCAGGTGACAAAAAGCTGCTTGCTGTACCGGCTGCTCGGGCACTATCCATGCATCTTCAAGCAACAGGAACATCATTACAGAAATGCTGAGCTGGCTTCAGCTGAAGTCTCAATTCTCAGACATTTCATATGGCATCAAGCTCCAACGGAATAGAAATGTTGTCTGCAACGATCTTTTACTGTACTGTTGCTGCCTTTTATGCAAGTCGCCAATGCAATTCAAATACTGATGTTGAGCTCTGGAAAAGAAACTGCTTTCTATGTTGAAATCCAGAATTCCTGCACGCTGAATTTGCAAGTCAGCTCTTTGGCACTGTGAATGTAGACCCTAAGGTATTGGCCACCATACAGAGGAATGCACACTCACCTGGGATGTACCCAGGTTACCCAGGATCCTCTCCTAATCTTGGGGTGAAATGATTGATCCTGGCTGTCGGGGGTTATCTGATATAAAACTCCCTACTCACCTAAGCCTGCTAGGGTCAGTATCTGCAACAGATCTGAAGCGTCCAACCCAAGAGATGCATCAGGGCTTTGACTCTGCAAACCCCCCCCCGGGGATGGGGAGCAGCTGGCAGTCTCCTGGAATAGTTCATTCAGGTATATAATCACCCTCTGTGGCTTCATGCCCTTGGGAATGGGTTTAACAGATAATCCTACTTTTAAAATTTTGTGCATACTTAAAAGATGGGCAAAGCTTTGTCAGGAGTTTCAGTGACGATTCAGCCTTGGCATCAAGAGACATTTGCCCACTATCCCTTGAGGCTGCCCTGAGGGAGGAGGGAGTGTGGATGCAATGGGATCCTTCTCAGCCATCGAGCACCTACCTGAGTAACCAGTGATATCCATAGCTTTGAGATTCCTGCATTTAATGACTGTTAAGGTGAGGCGACCTGCAGTTGGCAAATAACAAAGGGAAAACATGATCTCTCCCAGGTCCACGCTTTCCTTTAATAAAACAGAGAACATATGTTGGAAACATGCAAGAACCAGCTATGGTGCCCCCACCCCCACCACAACGCTTCGCGCAGGATTCAGGCGACGCTCACACCGAAACAGGCTTTTCTCTATTCTGTCATTGCCAAGTGAAAGACACTTTACGATACGGGGGTGCTGCGGAATTTATTTCCAATGTATCCCAACATTATTTGGCTAAAAATGAATACAGGAAACAGGAGAAAAAAGCGTATCCAAATGTTACAGCTTAAATCACAGTTAAGGATAATCTTCCACCGCCTCCGTGTGCGCTTCCCGCTGCAACATTACAGCTAATGCGCTCCTTTTCCTGCTCCATCGCTTACGCAGAAGCGAAGTGATATCCAACACCAAATGAGGGCCATTAAGGAAATTATATTAGTATCAAGTTTTGCTTGAATGTACTGTGTCTACCTTCTAGTGCCAAGTGTGTGGCTGTAACATCTCCTTCTTCAAATGGAGAAACACCAAACACAGAGCGGGGCCACAGAAAGGTGAGGCGTTACCATGCCGCGGCGCCACGGCTCCCTGGCTGCACGCCCAGGGAATGCGGACGGCGCTGAGCAACATGGTGACCTTCCCTGAAGTTGGGGACGGGTTGCCAGGTGGTTACAGACCAGGGGGGGCACAGCTTTAACACAGCAGAGAACCCTGAAGGGCTCCATTTGGCACCAACTGAGCTTTTAGGCTGCGGTATGCTGACTACCATTTGGACCACCAACCCCTTTGAGATGCCTCCAAAGATCTATCAAACACAGTGTGAGGCACGTATGTGCACGTACATGAACAGTGAATTAACCAGCAGATGGCACTCGGAAACATTTGGTGGTTTCTGGATTACAGAGAGGCAAATACAATTTACTCTCTCAGTGCCCCATAAGACAACTTTTACACATAGCCCTTAGCAGGTTTTGTACATACAGCCTTATCTATTACCTCTCCTAAAAGCCCATTCTGTCGTTGCCTCGCTCATGGGAATTCAGGAAAAAAAATAAAAACCCCCAAAGTATTATTTAAACTAGAAAGCATTATCATCTGAAGTCAGCAGAAAGATTTCTGAAACCTTCAAAAAATGGATTTAAAAAAATATATCTTATTCTGTACATGCAGATCCCACATCTGTAGAGCAAACCACCCATTCATTTTTGGAAATAGAGTGTTTGACTCATTTCAATGTGATATAATGATCTGCTAAAAAGAAATTGTAGCTGTTGGTAGTAGACTGATGGAACTAAAAAGACAAGTAAATGCATTGGGCACTTAAGGCTTTGCTAAGTGTGAGGAGAATAGATCTTGTTGATGGATGAGGTTTTTGCCAAATTATTTCCTTCTCGCTCTCTGGTAAGGCAAAGATTAGATATTTATTCCACTTAGACGTGCAGAATACTAATGAACGTTATATAAAAATCTTGATTCTTGACAGGACTTTGCTCAACTAGCAAATAAATAGAAAACCTTATTAAGCACAGAGTGTACAGAAGGAATAGTGGCAGCCAAATATTTTCTGGGCAGAGCAATGTTCGACTTGTGAGTATCTAAATAAACCTTGTCTCAGAAGGTGCTATTTGCTGGTGAATAAGAGTTTAATACTCTCACCCACTCGGAGTTCCCACTCTGGTCTCTTGCTCACCTTAATGAACCAATGGCATCCTAAAGAGCTTTCCTTCCAACGCGACAGAACCATCTCGAGTCACAGTCCCACCGCCAGTGACCAGTAACGAGACGGGGAAAACATTGACTGAGTTATTATTCCTCCACCTTTAGCACCTCTTGATGTGTCTGCTGGGACCCAAATCTCTTGCCTCACAAATATTACTAAAGGTACCTTATTAAGGCCCCGGAATCACTTTCATCACACAGGAAAGGACTTCTAGAGCCCCTGCAGCTTCTAACTCCTGACTGCATTTCAGCTACGGCCCCATGGATGTGACGGGGCCCCTGAGCTGGGCTGCTCTCTTGGAGGTAGAGCAGCAAGGAACACCGCTGGTGCTCTGAAACGCTTGGCAGCGTTACCTCTGGTGTCACCCATACCCCGAGAGCTGAGCTGAGGTTCTTGCTGCCTGACCCCAGTGCGGCCAATTCTCAGGGGAGTGGGAGCTTGGTATTTTACGTAGCCTTGTTCATTTACAGTGTCTTAAATGATCACGAAAATCGTGTGCCCAAAATGACAAATGGCTTTCTAAAACATGGCACTTCTTGTTACCTCTAGAGGTAGTCCTCCTCTTTTAAGATTAATTGCTTTACGATGAAAAGCCTGAATAAATAACTCTGCATGGAGGAGGCATGTCTGGATCCAGCTGCAAACACTGCCGCTGCATCGGGGCTGAGCTTGAGGACTGGGATTGTACCTGTTCACTTGAGCGTCTCCAGCTTCAGCCAGGCACTGCACCTACCAGTCTTAGCTATAGACTTCACTGACAATAAAAAAGAATTTAAAATAAATATTCTGAAATTATGATTAGAAATGGTTGTTCTATTCCCAAAGAAATGAGGACCTGAATCTCACTGCGTGCCGGCTGCACTGGATGCTATGCCCGCTGCGCCGTGTGCCAACGCACTGGGCCGGGTCTGTTCTTCCATACGTTCTTTGGTCGTGGAGGGACGAGAGCAGGAAGCCTGGACACAACTGTCAGAAGAGAGCAGCCCTACATGAGATTATGAGAGCACCCTCTGGGCACCATCTCTTCTATTCCTCTCCTTGCACCGAGAGGACCTGTTCAGGGTATAAAACTAACATAAATTATTCTTTGACTTCACTGTATTAGGTCAAGAGATTTTTCTTTGCAATCATAAATACAGGAGAGTAAAACGTGCCCTGTGGGCACATTATTTTCATGCAGATTATAGACATTGGGACATTTCCAAAATTCATATCTGTACCCCTTAGGAAATAATGGAAGCTCTGAATCAATAACCTTTGCAGGCTTGAAACCAAAAATGTTTTACTGATTCACAAGCTGTGCAATCATTAATTAAGTAGTTGAGTGCTAGCTATTTGAATAGCTTATATCATTGCTTAAGTGCGTTCCTACCTTCTTAGTATTGATCTAATGTATTATTAGTCACCCAGAGCTTTCCTTGGGTATTATGAAAGCTGTATTTACCGTTCTAATTTCTGATTAAACAGAAATGTCCTTGGGTGCGTTACAACTGGCTGAGAGGCACCAATATTGGCCCATTCCCAAAGAGTGGCACAGAGGGAGGGAGGGGACAGAGCCAAAGGCAGCACTCGACGTTTCTGTGGGAGCTCTGCAAGGCTGCCTTACCATGGGTCTTGGGCATGATGTTGGCTCTCACACCTTCTTTGGGGGCTTCTCTGTCAACGCCACTTCTCTTGGTGTCTCTCCACCTATTTTTGTGGGTTTTTTTTTTTAGTTTACTTAGTCAGCCAGGAAAACATCCGTTATTTCTTGCAGAATGGCCCCAGCAAAACACAGAACATACATGGGTTAAGAACTCCATAACCTTCTCCTCCAGCTATGTGTTGTATGTGGTTTTCCTCTAGTGAGACCAAGTGTTACCCTTCTGCGTTTCACTCCTGCCCACGGGTCTTTTCCCTCTGAGCTCTTCAGGCTTACCACACTCTTTGTAGGCAAGGAAAGGGAGCCTCCCTGCCACCACACAGGAGACTTCAGCCCAGGACTCAGCACCAGGGCCCATCACAGCCAGCCTGGCAGAGCTGACAGCAAACTGCCTGCAGAGGCAGGGCTGATGCAAACAAGTAGATGTCTCCGAGATGTGGATGCCTCTTGTTCCTCTCCTAGCAACCCTTTGCCGGGCGAACAGATGTGCCCCATGCCTGCTTGCCTCTTCGCCAGCGTTTCTCCTTTCATCACCATCCATTAATCATAACAGACGTGGCTATTTGTGGATTGAAAGCCAAGAGCTGTAAACACCCTGCTAGCTAAATACTATTGACTTGCCTCGTGGTTGATCCTGTGCTCCCTCCCACCTCACCTGCAGGCAAGATGCTCAAAAGGCGGCAGAGCTGCAGCTCATAGCACGCTCCCCGCAACACCCCCGGGTACCCGGCAGGCGTCACGTATAGGTCGGCATCCTTAGCCAGGCACGGCAAAAGCCGTACTGCCACAGAAGCAGGACAGCCACTCTCTGCGTCCTACCAGGGCTGCTGCTAGCCCGAGAGCTTCCTACCAGGGCCCACACCCTGCACGCACACCGTGCCCCCCCCGGCACCCGGGCGCTGAGCTACGGCACCACAGCACAGGGTACAGCGCTGCGCAGGCATGTCCAACCTCAGAGCCCTCACAGAGCTGTGAACACGCCGCAGCAAAAGAACAAGCACTGACAGTAGTGGCCAAGGGGTACAACCGGTGAGGAACACGGTACTGCAAAAAAACCCGCAGAGAGGTGCAAAGCAAACTACGGACCACCATGCAATAAATGTTCATACTTGAAAGTTCATTCCCCAGTACAGAAAGTGGGAGAGCAAAGGCATGAGATGAGCTATGGAGGAAGTTGCAAGACAGATTTTTGCAAGTCATGGAGTTATGCCAGTCACTAGGAAAGATTCAGCAGGGCCCATGCTTTCAGCCACAGGGGCGAGGGCATCTCATATTCCAGTTTCAGAAATAATGAATGATGTGAAATGACAAAGGTGATGACTGACTTGGTGTCCAAATGCAAAGCAGCTCGATCATTTGTTTGCCCTCAGAACCAGCCAGGTCCTCCTGGGAGCAGAGGTAGAGGTTAATGCCATTGCCTCTGCACGCAGCGGCCAATGTGAGAAGGTGGCTTCTCCTGCCAGTGCCCTGCAACACTGAAAGTGGCCAGGACATTTCCTTCTCTGATGCTTGGTTTCACTTTCAGAGGGAATTCAACAGAACTACTAAAAGGCCCACATCAAGCTCTGGAAGAGTTGCCAGCAACACATCAGACAACGCTGTTGGGACAGTAAAGCCCAGTACCTCCGATGGGTTGGCGGTGGCCCTCCAGAGCTAATTCTTACTGTTACCACGTGCGCAGCCAGAACCTGAGACCCTTCACACATCGAAGGGATGCCAGACAGGGAACGTACTGAACCCCTCAGTTGCTTTTTAGCAAACCTGGTATTAGTGAGACCCACTGTGGGTAAGATAACAGCAAGTCACCAAGAGGATGAAATTCCAGTAAACCAGGGCTCTGGTAAAGCTGATGGGCTTCTGAGTACAACAGCCCTCGTCACCCCTGCCTGCGATGGCTGTAGGTCCCCAGGGCCAACGGTACCATCCGCAGGGAGGCAATAAACCCATCAGCTGGCAGTTGTGCAGGACTTACCCCTGCAGGCAGTCCAGCCAAAAAGAGAAGCCCACCCCATCCTGCCCTGGAGCCGCTCACCACACACTCAGTACCTGTCCTGCACACCGACAGGTACCACACGCCAAGCAAGCACTCCCGGGGCAGGGACAACCCTCTGAAGCAGATACTCACCGTCGTGGCATACTGAATGTCCTTCCAGATGGAAGTCTCCCGGGAAAGGTCTGAGGCCTCAAACAGGTTCTCCAAGATAACTTCTCCTATCATGTCATGTCTGGAGAACCTGTCAAAGTCAAAGACGCTCAGGTGGAGCTTCCTGCTCGCCAGCTCCTCGTGGGGCACAGGGAAATGGAAGGACTCATCAAAGGTGGGATTCAGAGTCTTCCTGTGAACTCGTGTCTGGAACTTGCGCTTTCTGTCAGGCAGGAGGTAGATCTTCACATAGGGATCTGAGCTGCCACAGAAGTCTTTGGCTGGCAAGTCAAAAGCCCTGAGAATTCGGACAGTCAGCGTCTCATTCTCGTAGTCATACTTGAGAGTAAAATTAATTTTCCCGCAGGTTTTTGCTGCCTCTTTTTTTGGGTCCTCAGAGTCAACAGATTTTTGCTTATAGAGTTCGGGCTTAATGCGACCTATGCTGGTCGGCTGCTCAGCCACAGCTGGTGGGTCCATGCCGTAGTCCATGCTGGATACATGCATTTGCCGAGGAAGGTGCCTTTTGAAGGAGATGTGCCTACAGGAGGAAGACACAACAGCTGTATGGCTTTCCAAGGACATTTCTCTCCTTTTTCTCCCCTGGACTACTAACGCTAGGAAAGGAAGGAGAGCACAAGAACGAGCACACTGTGTGCTCCTCACCTCTGTACTGCAACCACGTACGTTGTGGAAATGGACACTGAAGGGAACATCCCCAGTGGTCAAATGAACGGATCCAGCAAATTTCCTAACTTGCAGAGCATTTGCAACAAGCTGCATTTTTTCACCCCACATTTGCATTTTTTAACAGCCCACAGCTAAATATCTGAGACCAAACAACTCCTTAACCAAGCCATAGACAACCCGGTGTGGAGGCTCTTTCCCACCCTCAGTCCTTACACTTCCAAGATACTGGCACTAAGTTTCCCTCAGGCAAAAAAAAACTTGTAAAGTGAGAGAACCACAACCAGCTCAGAAAGTTAGGCTTTGTTCCGGGTATTGGTGCTTCCAAACTTCTCCAACAGACTCTCATCAGAACCTGATGGACAATTCTTGACAGGGAGGGACGCAGAGCCTCATCTGGGAGCTGTCTCTTGCCTTGAGCTCCTCTTCAGCACAAGGGAAACTGAATGTAAGCAAAGCTTTAGCTAAGCAAAACTAAGAGCTTTCTGTGGACTTGCAGCATTATTTCAGATTATCTGGTGTTTACACGAGCAATATATGGGGTTATTTAACCATACTAAGAATGTGTACAGCCAGAGCACTAGCTTTCGGAGGTACGTGGTGCTCAGAGACCTCACTTCTCCTTGGCAGATTCCTCAAAGGCATTTTGGCCTGGGCTAGGCTGAGCTGTGAGTCAGAGATCCCAAATTGCGGAGGTTGCTCCCCAGCATCCCCGGCTCTGGCTGCCCACCTGGGGTTCAGATGGGCTTTTTTGCTTGAGAAAGTGGGTCTGAAACCTTCCCCCATAAAGCCAAGTCCCCCTTTGTTTGCCCTAATGCAGACAGGCAGAGCTTTTGCTTTCTCCTCCATTGGGAAGGTGCAATAAAAGCAGAACAGTGCATGACAGAGAGGCAATCAGCTGCCCAAAAAGCGGTGCAGTTAAACAGAATAGGCTGTGGCACAATGGCAGGCGGCACCACGGTGATTTTAACCCCAGCTTCTTCAGACAGAAGGCTGTGATCGGTGCCTTATTAATCCTGCAGCACTGCAGCCAGTTTTATGAGCAATGTCTGTTTTCGCAGTTGCGCTCTCGCACACACCGTGGGCATGGCCAGCAAAGCACGCAGAAGTGCTGGGACTCAGCCAGGACCCTGCGATCACCCGATCCTGTCCCAGTTTCGCGCCTTCTGTGTTGAGGAAGAGGAACCGTATTGCTCAGCATGCCTGCTGGGAAGGTGTCCCGAGGTTCGTACAGCCTTATCCTGATGTACTGAGCATGATGCCGACATCGCTGTCCCTGGCCGAGACGGAGACACGCACTGAGCGCAAGCGCTGCGTGCAGCTGGTTCCGCGCTCGTGCAGCGAGCGATACGTCGGTTCTGCTTACCTCACTGTTTCTGCGAGGAGCCAAACAACAAGAGAGAGCAAAAAGGCCTAATTCTGTCTGACAGCACACCATCACGGATACTTCAGCCTGCCTCTCATGTGGGAACAAAATTAAAGTGGCCAAAGCATACTGACGGCTTGACACAATGAGGCCAAGTCACAGTAATAGGGCTTGAATCCTCGATTTTTTCAAAAGGGCCCACATAAGCCAGTCCTAACGCATCAATTGGTTAATGACCAATCTCAGGAAAGTAATCCAGCATGTAGGTGGGAGTGCTTTCTTCAGCCTCCCTGAAGATAACGGAACCTCAGGCTCCATTAAACACTTCTCCTGCCCCACCAGCTGCCCTGGGGCGCAGCGTCCCTGCGGCGCACTGCATCCCTGCGGAGCACTGCATCTCTGGGGAGCACTGCATCCCTGCAGAGTGCTGCATCCATGCGGAGCACGGCATCTCTGGGGAGCACTGCATCCCTGCAGAGTGCTGCATCCATGCGGAGCGCTGCGTCCCACTCACCTGGTGGAAGACGCTGGCTCCGTTGTTTGCCTCTGGATCCGCGTGCGCCGCATGATGTGGTCTTTCATGGACATCTGGACCTCTGCGGGGATGTCTGGCGATGTGTGGCTGATCTTCACCGCTGCTTCCAGGAAACTTATGGCGCCTGCGTCCTTGAGCTTGTCTGCCATGTTCTCCTTATTGCAGCCTGCCTCGCTCTGCAAGACGGCCAGGTTAGAAGAAAGGGTCTTGTTCCTCCAGGGAACCCAGCACAGCTTCCAAAAGAGAAACAGAAAAACTGCCACCAGGGCCAGTCCACACGCAATAACTATCACTGCAAGGAGGCTGACGGAGAGCTCTATGAGGGGGAGAGAAGGCAACAGCAACAGGGAGAGGGGAGGAACAGGGAAGGAGAAAAGAAAAGAAAGATAGTGAGCAAGCCACACGTAAAGGGAAGAACTGGTCCAAACTGACTTCTATCATGACTAACACAGACCTCTTAGCAGGTTCTGCAAGCAAGGGTCAAACCCAGCTGAGCATCCCTGGACAGCTTTGGGACTGCTTCCCACCTCAGACACATCTGGGGAGAAATGGGTCTCCAGATGGCCAGAGCTACGAAGCTTTACACCATGATGCTTAGGCTGGCTATAAAATATCATCCGGGGTTTGTTCTGTGGCATTGGCAAACTGCTGAGTCTGAAGTCAAGAACTGCAGAATTGCACGATAGAAACAAGCTCCAGTGCTGTACCAGCAGCAACTGCCCTTTTGCTTCATGCCGCCGGTGTTCAGGCGCTATATTAAAAGAATCCATCTACCGTGATCCTGGAAGCAGATGGTTGTTGTACTATCAACACTCACATCTTGTCCAGATGTGCCCATAGGGAATAAAAAGTAAATACCACAAAAAAAACCCCAAACTCACAGGCTGCTGATGCAATGACACCAGACACAGGAGGAGGCTGCACAGAAAGTGCTACACACTCTTCCTGTTCTGAATAGCACAGGAGCTCTGCATGGTCTCTGACTCTCTGAGCCACTTTTACCTCATACGCTATTTATTTCAGCATTTCAATCCTTTTCTGAAGAGGAAAGAGCTTCCATACCTATGGCTGAAGAATCAGGAGAAAAGGAAGTATATTTATAAATATATATGTATGCGCTAGGCTGTGAAATGATTCACAGCACTTCAAAAAGAGAAAACATCAGCTATTTTTAGTTCCTTTCTTACAGCGTATTAATTCCCAGATTCCCACCCAAACCAAAATTCCAAGAGTTTGGAATCACAAAGAATAGTGGCCCCTGAGGTGAAGACAGGTTTGGCACTGGAGTTACGTCTGCAGCGTCAGGACTGCAGGCGGTTCAGTCACAGATTGCTATGAGTGCAAGGACAGTTCCGTGATTGCCTGCTGTGTGATTTGTAGTGGCCAGTAAAGCTCCTTAAGTTCCCTAAGTGCAAGTCAGGACAGAAAGGCAAAACCCACCAAACACTTCAGAAGTTTATCTAGAATGACCATTACCCCCCACTCACCTCCACAGAAAGGCAAAACCCACCAAACACTTCAGAAGTACCCCCCACTCACCTCCGTTTATGGGTGTGCTTGGACCCCAGGCGTTTTGCGATACCACATGGGACAGACAGCAGCTTCGCAAGGCGCTGCCCGAGAGGTGTGGAGGTCGGAATTGCCTCCCTACTCACCGCCGCTTGCAAGCAGGGCCGGGGTAGCTGCCAGAAGCGAGGGTGTCATGTGTGGAAGGGGATCGGCAGGACACGGCCGCTCGTCTCCTCCTGCGGCACGAGGCTGGTTCCCAAACCGGAGGGGAGCCCATGCCAGGTGGGAGGTGTGGGACAGTGGCCTTGTCCCAGCAGCTCCCAGCGCGGCGGGATGTGGGTGCCCTCAGCAGCACCCCCAGGAGGGACCCGGCCCTGCTCCCCCTCCATGGGGTCTGCACGGCCGCCCTCGGCAGGGCCGCCCCTTGTCAAAGCTGGCACTGCAGTTGACGGCTGCAGCCTCGAGCATTTGGTTTGTCCACGTGAGCCGGCAGCACCTCTTTAGGTCACCTCTAAGTGTACTTAAGGCACACAGCTTCTCACCTCCGGGACCTCTAAGAAACGCCAGACTCACTCAAAAACTGCATTTAGATCAATCTCCCACAAAATCCACCCTTAGCAGGCAGCTTAGCCCTTAGAGAATAAACTGGGATAAACTGGGAGACTCACGTCTGTGCTTCGTCACAGCTACTACAAACGCGATCCCTGACGTACCTTAAATAGAAGCCATAAGACGCCCTCCTGTTGCCTTTGGTCATGCAGTTTAATTTTGTACAGCTGTAATAAGGTATTTATCCTTTAAGGCTGAGAAAATCTAAAAAATGTGAGGAAAGACTAGATTTTTATCTTGAAAAAAATAGCTGAATTTAAAAATTATTTAAAAAAAAAAATAGTAAAAAGAAACCCCGACCACCACTGGTGAACCATAGCACCAAAGTATTCAGGAATCCGTTTCTATAGCCAAGCTTTGCTAACATGCTAGCTGGGAATACAACAGCATTTAGGATTTTTGCATCAGCTTTTATAAATGAAATCTTAAGGAAGCATCAGACACAAATGCAACACCTACAGCGGAACGAGGCACCTGAAAGCCGTCCGTTGTTTCTGATACCCCAGAGGAAACACATCGTTTTCCCACAAAATTACCTAGCTTAGCAAATTCACTACAAGCTTGAGGCAGAGCTTCCTGGCTGCCCATGGGCTCTTTGGCTGGAAAGGAGGGCTGGAATACGCCAGGAGGTGCAGATGGGAGGAGTAAATGCCACCCAGGAGTTTTTGCAGCTTTTCCTCTTCCTCACCAGCCTTCTGCACCATTTATTTTCTGCTGTAGCTCTGAGGTGGAAATACTGATCACTGCTGGGGTGAATAAACAGGCCCCGTCTTATTCAATAATAAATAGGATTGGACAAGTCAGTGGTGGAACTCCCTCGGAGGTTTGGCTAAATGCATTCTCACCAAAGCAGGGCACAGAGGTACCCCCTCCCTGTACTGGGGGTTGAGTCTTGGAACTGTGCCCAGGAAACTCCACGTCAAACAGTTTCATAAGAAACCTTAAGAACCTGGACTTTTTGCGGATATGTCTATGTTGGTATAAAGAAAACAGTTCCGTGCAGGATCTGTCCCTGATGGGAGCTGTTACGTGATGGAAAAGTTTCCCTAAGCTACTTCTGCCCTCCCCAAGGAGTTGCACAGCACGCGTGAATCTGCTGCGTGAATCTGCTCCGGACTCACCAATGGAAAGTGTCAGAAATTATCGGTTATCGCTTCTGAAAACCTGTTGCCAGCCTGAGAAAGATCTCAGTTCATGGCACTTCCCACTGAGCTGGCGTTCGCAATGCATTTGACAGGATTCACCGGCATCTTTATGCATGACCTCCTACTCTTTCCTCTGACAGCTCACATAAAACACAAGGAGAAGGGATCGGGATTTTACAGACATTTTTTAAGCATCTGCCTGGGAAGAATATGGGTTTGCCTGAAGATAACACTGAATTCCCCAGGACTTTTTCATGACTTATTAAACTTAAGTATCAGTTGGACAGAGCCGCCCTTAATTGATTTAATGAGCTTTCTCTTACAAAAATGCCAGTTACTTTTTGAAAAACAACTAGTGTTATGTTTTAAATGTCCTTTAACTTACAAGAAATTATAAAAACAAGATAATCCCTTATCTCTCAGAAAGCGTCCCAGGGCCAGAGGTCGCCTGGGTATTGCTGGCATGGAGGTAAGGGCCGTTCCCCTAGAGGCTACGCCAGAGACCAGAAGGACCCCTCAGCCCAGGGGAAGGATCAGCTCCTTCATTTACCTCATCCCACCCTGTGCAACGTTCGGTAAAGCAGAGGCCGAACCATTCCTGTGCTGCTTTGTGACAGACAGAGCCCCGGCGCCCTTCCGTACTGCCGGACACAGACACATCCCGCTTTGCCCTCCACTCAGGAAGCCTTGGCTCGAACGTTGCATCGACAGCCACCACCAGCAGTCCTGATCCTCCGCTGCAAAGCGGACACCCTCACCGAAAGCATTTCCACACCAGAACCAGGGAAGGCTCCTCTCGGCCAGGAATGAGCTTTTGATGACTTGTGCCGCAGATTCCCCATCAGAGCAGGTGATGGAGAGAAACAGATTTCTAAACCAGAAAGCCACTGGTTGCCAGGATAGACACGAGCACATCCATGGGAGGACCCACACAGATCATGGTCTTTGCTCTGCTTTCCTCCAGTGAAGAGGAGAGAGCAAGCGTATCTGAGAGCCTAATGATAATGATCATTTATCACCACTTATGCAGTAGGCGGTACTGTTAAACATCAACTGAGTCAACGGAGATGCTGATCTCCCACCCCTGCAGCCTCACATAAGGGAAAATAATGAATCAAAGTCTTCAGAGACAGCACAAACAGCTTGGACCAACTTGTTACGAAACCAACCACCACTGTGCTTTTGTTTTCTGCAGCAGGAGCAGTCATTATCTACAGAGGAAACGGGGGTGAGGGTGGTGAGAAGCTGGCTGGGTGGCACTCAGAGCTGTGTGGCCCAGATTGTCCCTCTCCCATGGCCAAGGGCAGCAGGGCAGCGCTGTGCTCCCGGCGCCTTCAGGAGCAGTGGCAAGACCAGCACAACAACGGGGACATACAGGGACAGCCCAAGTCAGTGGCAAGGGACACAAGCTGAGAGACCAGATCACACCCAAGCATTTGAATACAAACAAGTTTCATGACCGACCAGAAGCCGACAGCGAGCATGGGGATGCCAAGAGCACAAAGGAGGCTGGCTGAAACCTATCAATCAACCTTACCAGCAAATGATCTTGTTTCTCTTTGTCTTGACTTCTTGGTTTGTGCGTTTACTGCTTTTGTAACATCTAAAAACCTTGCTATTGAGTCTCGCAACAGAGCCCACAGAATGGCTCAAAGCTATAAAACCTCTGAGAAGAGCACGACTCTCTACTACCCTTCAAATAAACGGTGAGATGGCCCGGGGCAGGACAAAGGGACAGTGGCACAATTATAACTGTAAAGTTAAAAGCAAATTTAGGAAAGGGGGATCATTTCTTGGCTAGTCCTTCCTTGCCCCGGTACCCAGACACTCGGAAAGCGGCTCAGCAGCACAACTACCCATTGTGTTCCATCTTCGATGGGCACTAATTAAAAGAATATGGTGGAACCACCTTTCAGCTTTATGTCCCCAATGACTTCATAATACCAAACTGAGTTACCAAAGGGGATAATTAGCAAAGTCCAAACAGAAAATGATTAATAATATGACAAAGCCATGATTACAACAGTCTATTAACTGCAAGACAATACTGGTCTAATTATGGAAACATTGACTTTTATTACTGTGAAGTAGCTTACACTGTCATTAACAAGATTCATGGATAACTCTGAGTTTAATGTGAAGAGTTATATTTAATATCTCGAAGATGTAATTTAGCTTTCCTTCCACCCACTCCCCATAGAGAAAACAAAATACGTTTGAAGGCTCTCTCAGCACTCCAGCACCTATTAGTCATGCCAGCTACCTGTTGGATTTAAACACAGTTTGAATACCACGAGTGGAAGTTCAAGGGTGTGTGTGTGTGTGTGTGTGAGACAAAATCCAATGCTCTCAGCCGAGGCCCAGCCTGGGGCCAAGCTGATGCTGGAGGAGCTCAGCTGCAGCGGCCATCAGCCCCCAGGGCCGGGGCCACTGACCCAGCGGTCCCTTCCCGGAGCCCCTCAGCACCTGCAGGAGGAGGGATGCATTTCTGCAGCATCCTCAGCACAGCCCCCTCGCCAGAGCAGCGAGGACACTTTGCCCTGACCTTCTGCTGAGGTTGGGCACGGGCAGCGTTGCCACCATGGCATGTTTGGCCCCATAGCTTCACCGTCACGTGCAGACCCTGACAAAGCCCCCAACCCAGTTCTGCCGAGAGCAAATGGACATCTTCCCTGCCAGAGGTTCTCACTGGTAAGAAGTTTCCCGGTGGCCAATGGAAAATGTTATCACCAGGGAGAGCTCTGGCTGGTTTGTTCCCCCCCCAGGGTTCTTTCAGCTGAAAGAGCAGCCCCCGGCTATTCTGAGCTGTGACTCGGAGCAGTCACGCCTTGCCAGAGCAAATGCTCCTGAGGGCGCAGCTACAGGAGATGGCAGAGCCCAGGGGCAGGGGGCGATGGCGATGTACCCTAACCCCGCTTGTACTGGCTGCGCGGCTGGTTTTCCAGTGAAATATATCGACCATTGCTCATACCACACCAGGAGGTATTTGCAGGCTTCTCTGTCCATTTTGGCTACATTTTTCTATTGCAACAGTGCTTGTGAGGCTCTGTTGTTCTATTTCTGCAGGGCTTTGTAGAGATCATGCATTCAAATGATAGATTACCACGAGAGTTATTGCTGGAGAAGAAGACGGGCAGCTCTGGGGCTACAAAAGACTGCGTGAGGCACCCGCCAACCGCTGATCTAATTTTCTCTCAATTGAGAAGCATCAGCAATGGAAGTCTGATTAGCTGAAGGCTGCAAATCAAGCATGAGAAACTGTGGTGAATCTCGGATGCCTGGGGCAGGGGCAGAGGGGAGCACAGGACAACAGCAGGGGAAAAGGAAGCGGTTTCCATTAAATCCTGGCTATAGCCATGTTTGTTCAGCAACGCCGCTCAGCTTTGCAGCTTCACAGAGGAAGGAGCAGGGGCTGGGTGGAACAGAGACGGAGCGCTAAACCAATGCAGCAGCACAGCATCCAGCAGCACCGCAGCCAACACCAAAACACGAACCACGGCAGAGCAGGGGAGCTCCCCCTTTGGGAACACAGCTCGGAACAAACCCTGCAAGGCAGCAAGGAGCACAGCAGCAGGCAGAGCACTTTGCAACAGGCGTTTTGAAAAGGAAACCGGCTGCCTTATAAACTGTGAAATGCTGCGTTTGATGAGGTGAGCGGCCGCGCAGCAGCGCGCAGTGCTCAGCCAGCTCCTTATCCCCCCCCAAGCATGCCGCAGCTGTGGGAACGCTAACAGAGCAAATAATAAAGATGGGATTGTCCCTGTCACCCAACGCAGCTTCAGCTCTTCCATCAGCAAGCAGCTCATTCTCTAACAGAGCCCACAGCTCGGTGGCGCCGGGCTCTGCAGGGAGCACAAGCACCGCAAGCCTGCGCGCCCATTGCCTCCGTCTGCTGGGATGGCGATGCCCAGCGCGCCAGTCCCCTGCTGATGCCTTCGCTGTCAAATCTTCAGGCCCACTCGCTGCCATTTGGTTGTCATTTGCAGCTTCAGCCACCCTTCTCTTCTTGATTTACCGGTTGTGTTCTCTAGGCAGCTATGAACTATAGGAAGATGTCCTGAAATACTCCTGAGCTAGACGAGTCGTTAGCAGCTGCCACTTCAAAGTCTAACTGCAGTCCATTTGCTTTTCACGGGCAGCCTCAGAGCGCAGGAGCTGGATGTGCTGTGAAGCGCTGCAGCAGGGGCTGCTGCTCAAAGAAGATCAGAGAGGTGTGGGTCGTTAGTGAGGGGAAAATACTTCATCAGGTTCTCAGCAGATGCTAAAGGACCAGGTCAGAAAACAATTACGGACTGAGCAGAGCTCCTGTCGTCCCTCAGACGTTATCTCATGCTGCGGGTGGGGACAAGGGCTGCAGAGCGGCCCCCACGTAGCAGTGAGGCAGGCAGCAAGACCCGGAGAGCGCTGGGGAAATCTGTCACCTGCGGGTCACGAGGCCATTCCCTGAGACCCTCCGAGCTGGTCCCACCCGGGGAGCAATCCGAGCAGCAGGGGCACACGTCAGCCGCCACTTACGGCTCTGCCTGCACCTCCTGACACCCTGCGCAGACCGACAGGAGCTTGGCTGCTTGTGGGTGCTCTTGCAGGGGGACAGGGACCGTCGCCCCGCCGAGGACAGTGCCACGTCCTTAGAGAATGTGGGAGAGGAAAAGTCACAGACATGTTTGGTACCACAACCCATCCAGAAAAAATCAAATCAGGGTGGTTTTGTCTCTTGGTAATGCAAGTAAAAATGCACTGATTGTTCCCCTCAGCTGTCCAGCGCAGCACAGCGGTACGAAATATTTGCAGAGGCCCCGAGAGGCTCCCGCACACCATGCTCACTCCCACGACCCCGGTACGCTTTACAGAGTTCCTCTAGGGGAAAGCAAGCAGCAGTTCCAGCTGCTTATTGCTGTGGAGCATGCCCAAATCTTGTTT